GTGGATTCCAACTGCCGACCTTTTTGTTAGCAGCCTGAGCTGTTAACCACTACACCACCAAGGCTCCTATATGCATATTGGAAGGCCATTTTGATTCCAGAAAGGCAAATGGCTCAAAGAAGCTGGTACGATGGGGCTTATAAAGAAAAGAGGAGGAAGAACTACAGAAGCTCAACCATAGGCAAATATCAACATGACTGATTGAACCCTGCCCTCCCCCTTTTACAGAGATCAATGGATATCAGGTTACAAGGTCTCTGCTCCTTTACCCAGCCATATCTTTTGAGATTCAAATTTAGTAAATTTGGTTTCCAACAGGAAAGAAAGGATTTGTAACTCCTGGTGAAAGAAAAGCTGTAGGTGGATTAATTTTGGTCAGGGGTTTCTTTAAAGTGAATATTTAGTTTCACGGGCAAGAAAACCCAAAAAATCAAAGCAAGATATCTGCTATCAATTTCTCTCCTTGACAAACCTGTGAATATATTATCCTACATGGCAAAAGGAACTTTGCAGATGTGATTGAGGTTAAGGACATTGATATTGAGAGATTATCCTGAATTAATCAGGTAGGCCCAACCTAAACACAGGAGTCGTTGAAGGAAATGTGACTTTGGGAGAAAGATCAGAGAGATGCAACTTTGCAACACCAAAGATGGAGGAAGTGGCTTGAGTCAAGGAAATTGGGCAGCCCCTTGAAGCCAGAAAAGGCAAGGATTCTCCCTTCAAGCCTCCAATAAGAGCCAGCCCTGGAGAAATCTTGTATGGCCTCATTTATATAAAAAGACAAGAAAAGGCAAATGCGTAGAGACCAAAGATTATTAGTGGTCACCAGGGGCTGGAGAGAGGGGAAAAAGTGGTTTAATGACATGGAAATATCACATTGATTAAGGGTCGGCTTGCACAGCTGATTATCGTAATTGCTATCAATAAGTTGTACACGTGTAAAAAGCTGAATTGGCAAGAGTTGTGTGATAGATATGTATATAAATAACAAAGACAGAAAAAAAAAGAACAGCTGCTGAGGCTGCTATGTACAACCAGATACCTCATGGGATCTGGTTCCTTGGTTTGGAGGTTTAGGGTCAATGTTTCATGGGACTTCTCAGTTAATTGGCTTAATAACATGTTTAGTACTTCTGTTCTGTCTCCTAGTTCATTGCATAGTGCCTGGGGTCTTAAAACCTTGCAAGCCGACACCCAAGGCACAACAATGAGTCTCTATTCACCTGGAGCAACAGAGGAAGAAGGAAAGTCAGGAATAGAAGGAGGAAATGGAATGTGTGGCTAATCCCTCCACTGCCTGCTGTGCCATGAGACCAGAACTGGATGGTGCCCGGCTACCATCACCGAACATTTTGATCAAAGATTCTATAGGAGAAACCTGATCAAAAGGGGAAAAAGGTTGAACAGAATTTAAAATTCTCATGGACTCCAGACTTCCTGGAGCCATGAAGGTTGAATGAACTCCTGAAACTATTGTCCTGAGATAATCTTTAAACCTTAAACCAAAAATATCCCCTGAAGTCTACTTAAAACCAAACAGTAATGTAGCTTAACTAGTAAAAAATACCTGCTTTGAGCATTATGCTCTTTTAAGAACTATCTATATGCGATCAAATTGACAACAGCAACTTGAAAGATTATATAGGAGCCTTAGGGGGCAGTGAGTTTATGTTAATGGGGGAGGAACAACTCAGAAAAGGAGAGTGAGAATGGTCTCACAACTTGAAGAATGTAATCAAAGTCGCTAAATGGTACATGTAGAAACTGTTGAATTAGTGTATGTTTTGCTGCGTATTTCTCAACAACAACAAAATAAATAAAATTAAAAAACAAAAAAAGAACCAGCTTTGCTGACACCTTGGTTTTATCCCCATATGATTCACTTTGTTTTTCTGACCTCCAGAAATACAAGAAAATAAATTTGTGTTGTTTTCATCACTAATTTTGTGCTAATTTGTTATGGCAGCAATACAAAACCAAAACACCCTTCAAGCATCAATTTAAAGAAAAAACACAGCATTCTGGAAAGGCTTACCACAAATGACCCCAGATGGCCAGGCTTTTGGCTGCCTTTATAAGTTTTCTCTTTTCTACTGTGTCACCAGGCTATGGAAATTTAATTTATCATCAGCTAACCTAGCAATCTCCTCCCTCACCCATCGCTCTGTGGTTGCAGGCTGAGAAACCAGATAAAACAAGAATTTTCAGAATAGTGTCTAAAAATAAGCCTTCCCAGCCCCAAGCAGGAGCCCCAAGGCTCTCCGGTGTTTGAATGCAGGACTCAGCTTCTGTGCACGGAATTTGCTTCTATTTTGATGTTGAGAGGCCTTTGGAGGTTTCTCTTCCGCTTTTCTCCAAGGTCCTAAATGTTGATATCATCCTTCAGATAAGTGAGATTTCACTGTACTATTGGGCTCTTGAAATGCTAATCACCCTCTCTGATTATATATCTTTTTCTATGTAGCAGTCCAGGATATAAATTGCTATTTATATTTTAAAACGACCGATTTCTCCCCCACTTGCCTCATCATAATAAAATTAATGAGCCCCCTGTTTGCTAAAGGGTTAACTCTGTAGCTTTGGATTCCCCCTCCCCCTCTTGGAGATTCAGAATGAGAACCAGCGCCTTCTATATTCCTTTCATAAAAAAGAATGGAGGGCAAGATGCCGAGGTTGTGAATGTGCATCCCGTGTACATTCATAACAAATGCGGAGCCGAATGGGCACATTCAGCTTGGCTCCTTGATGTAAATGAGCCAGCTGAATGAAAGGCTTGGGCACGGCTCACCTCCAAAAAAGATTCTGTTCACACTCACACCTGACAAATGCGTCTCGAATTTCCTTGTAAAAGTAGTTTTTCCTCCTTCCATCACGGCTGTCCTCTTCATCCCTAGATCTTTGTAATCAACTGTCCCCCCCCACCCCCACCCCCACACACGCTGCTGTTGGATGAAAGATCCCGCCTTTGATTGAAATGGAATCTTCCACTATTGAGCAGGTCTTTGTTGAATGAGTCATCGGGGTGCCTGCTCATTGGCTGAGGCCGCTCCTACCCAAGGGATTGCCTGGCAGCGGCTGCAAGGCCCCGCTTCATTCACAGAAACGCTGGCTTGCTCGCCGGCCCTCTCATTCACACAAACAGAATTTCATTCACATTTAGCGGTTTTTATCTGCTTCTAATGAAGATCACGGTTTGGGGATGAGAGAACCGTTGTGTTTTAGATTGGGGTGGGGGCATTGAGAACAATCGAAGTCATCTATGGGGTGTGTGTTTGCTGTTGCTATGCAAGCCGGGGTAAGACAAAAAAGTGAGCGCTGTGTGGCTGTTCTGCTAGAGCTGCGGCAGCGGGCGGAGCGGCGGGCGTGCGCGCGGCTGGAGCTCGCCTTCCCGGGCACAGGGACGCAGGGCACCTCACCGCTCCCGGCCTTGGGAGCTGGCTTCGCGCCCGGAGCCGCACGCCTTAAACCCTATTCCATAAAACTCTTTCAAGACTTGGCTCTTCAGGTGCCACAGATATTTAGGCGTGGGGTATGAGGGGATTCAGGATTACCTAAGAATGTGCTAGAGGTAAATTCATTGGCTTGCCCAGAAGTTGGCTGGGAAACTTTCGTAGTCTGTGATTCCCTGTGTCAGGCAAGTTCTCTTTATGCATGATGGAGATTAGCAGAGGTGACTAATGGCAGGCAGGAGTGGGGTTCCAGAGCTTTTGGGGCCATGAATTTCCTGTTCCCCTAACTGAGGAGGAAGAAGGCCGATATACTTCCCTTCCAAGAGTCTGAAACCTAAAAAGAAGGTATTTTCCCTGTGCATCTGATGTGTATGTAACAAGACCAACTGCGTTTTTCCTTCCTTACTGCAGAGTTGCAAGCAGCAACTGGAGGGATATTGAAATGTATTTCTAGCGTTTCTTAGCCACCAAACAAACGCATTCAGTTGGGATGAAGCTTCAAACACAGCTCCTTGTTTGGAATGGATTGATGGAGCCTGTGGGCACCCATCAAAGAAGCCCTCCTCCTCTTCTTCCGAAGCAGGCATTCCACTTCCCTCTGGCTGAGAAAGGCTGCTGAGAAGTGACAGGGGAGACACCTGGACTGACACTGGGCACAAGTTCATATGCAGATTAAGACTTTTTTTTTGAGACACTGCATTGCCACAAAGACACTGGAATGGCTGCTCTGTTGATCTGAAAAGAAAAAGAAGAAAAACCCAGGACATTGGTATTTTATGTTCACCTGGGAGTGAATATTTCTTTTTTGCCATTTAAAAATTACTGCTGCTTTCGAAAGCAGAATTCATCAGGATTTGATGAGGATCTTATTCTTAAAAAGCCTTCGTCACATTTTATGGCATGGCTGTCAGACACTTTTCGGGCTCACACAGATGGGCTGAGCAGGGAAGATGAAAACGTAATATAGAACCATGCGTTTCAGAAAGTTGATTTGATTATTTGAAGGCCCTGGGTTTACCTTTGGCACAAATGCGGGTTGGGGAGGCGGGGAGGTGAAAATCAAAGGTTAAAAGGAAATATCTGGGAAGGTAGGAAAGGGAAATTTGAGAATTGATTGGTTCTAGTGTGCTGTCAGTGCGTGGAGGTAGTTTTTTTCTCCCCCTCCCTTTTTGCTACAGGAAGTGATTTGCAGTGTTCCCCGAGCCTTTGTTGAGAAGGGTCTCCTCACTGAGTGAGTCATGCTTCTGCTGTAAGACTTGGCAGCTCTGAGCAGCTGGGATCGCTATCAGAGGAAACTATTACTTTTCCAAATCAAACGTGGAACCATGAGCGTTCTCCTGGGTCGAGGCTGTGTCGTTGTTTTTCATGGTAGGAGGGCACAATTTTCTTGCCCCTCTTCCCTTCTTTCAAAAAACTGTGCCGGGGGCACCCACACCCCACTTTTTGTCCTTGCTCCGTAGAGTGTGGCTCGCCTGCTATGCGAGGCAGTCTGCGCCGGGGCTGGCACCCGCACCGCCCGAGCGAATGCAGGCGAGCAGATAGAAGGGCATGCTGCAACGGACCAAGTATAACCGCTTCAGGAATGATTCGGTGACATCAGTCGATGAACTTATCCACAACCTGTCCATGAGCGGCGGCAGCGGCGGCAAGGTCTCAGCAGTGCCCGCGACCTCCGCGGCGTCCCCCTACCTGGTCTCCAGCGAGGCGCTGCGCAAAGCGCCGGACGATGGGCCCAGCAGCCTGGGCCACCTGCTCCACAAGGTGTCCCACCTGAAACTCTCCAGCTCGGGCCTCCGCAGCCTGTCGTCCGCCGCGAGGGAGCGGGCCGGCGCCAAGCTCACCGGCAGCTGCAGCGCTCCCAGCCTGGCCGCCGGCCCCCCGGACCGCACATGTGCCGGCGCCCCGGCCCCAGGCAGCGCGCCGCCGGCCCAGAGCGAGATGACCGCCGCCAGGAAGGGCCGGCCCGGCGAGGAGCTGCTGCCCAGGCCCCCCCGGGGCTGGCTGCACGCCAGCGACCAGGTCCTGGGGCCCGGAGTGACGTACGTCGTCAAGGTGGGTGCCAAGGGCCCTGGGTGGTTGATCGTGGCGGTGGTGGAGGACGAGGGGGGCGGGGGACAAGCTTCTTTCCAGACTCTATCCCTGCTTGGGCTCGGGAGCCTCGGTGCAGGGAGCTATGTAATTGTCACACTGGGAGAGGAAATGCGCATTCCTTAGCAATCAGCTCCCTTGGCAGCAGTGAGGAGGGAACTCCAAACGTGCCTTTCCCGCATCCGCTGGGGGAAATTAAAAAAAAAAAAAATTCGGTTTAACCTCATTCTGCCCTGGTTTCCCCTTGAACCCCCTTTTTTGACGCGCCGTTGCCACCTCTCTACGATATGTCTAGCTAGCGCCCGTTCGGTCTCAGCCCCTATCCCTGAAAACGGTGGGGCTTCCCGCACCTATCATCCATTAAAAACACTTTGAGGAACTGGGGCAGCCTCGTTGGGATGAAAAACGCACGTACTGTCACTACTTGGGTCCTGTTTTCCAGGACCATTAGGAGTGGTGTCTTCTTTCCCCACAGTAAGAATTAAGCAGCTCTGTGCGCAGAGGCCAAAGCCTCTCTTGCTTTCCGTAAGACAGATGTTCATCCTGACCCAGCAAGGGTTTCTTTGGTGTTTGTCTTTCATTCATGCTTCAGGTTGTTGGTTTACAGCATCAAAAGGAGAATTAGAGAGCATTTTTTCAGTGACTATAATCTTCGATTTAAATAGGCTCAAACGGGAGGAGGCTGGGGCCCCTGGAGCCACAGGCTGGAGAGGACTTTTTTCCTCCAACGCCAAGAATATAAAATCACGCACAATGTGTTCAATCCAATTCCTCCCTCAGGGAAACATTTTATGATGTTTAAGGAATCAAATACTCAGCACGGTTCAACTAGTCTGGCCAAATGCTTCTTTTCTCCTGGTGCGTGAGGCAGCGTCGACCTACTATCTCGCTCTCAAGCTCTGCTAGACATGTGCTCCTCAAGGCGGAGAGCGGCCAAGCTGTCTAATTTAAGACCCGTCATTCCAAGGCGATGCTTTTTATTTAAGAAGAAATGAGACTCTGACTATCCCCACTGCGTAGTTAACAGCATGGAGAAGCCTGCAGGGTGTCTGATCTGTAAATATTGGCAGCAGATCAAGTTTAAAAATTCAACAGAACATGTCCTCAAGTAAAATACAGCCTCTTTGTCATTTTTGTAACCAATTAGAGAAACAGTTAATGTTGTGGATTATCTCTGCCTATATAAAATGTACTTATAAATTAATGTGATAAACAGTGTCAAAATAGGCCCTCTTCACCTTTTGGGTATGCTTTTTAATTTAATCTTAGGTTCTGAGGATGGATTATTCTATTTACCAAGAAAGATGCAGAACGGCATAAAAGATGCATATTTGGATATGTTTATTATAAAACAAAATGAATATTCTACTTGCATTGTTTATTTAAGTTATATAATCGGGAGCCAAAAGTCAAAAACAAAACAAAAACCCTTGACAACTCTGAGGTTAACAAGTGACACCGGAGTATATTACTTCTAGAGTGTTAGTATAATTGCTAGCTTAAAAAAAGAAAGAAAGGAAGAAGAAAGAAAAAAATCCTACATTAGAAAGAGAAAAAAAGACCTTGGCCAAGGTTCTATACTTGTCATGCTGAATATAGCGGGCAGTTTCCAAATTAAGGCAGAACTCTAAAACATATGCGTTTAAAGTTTTCTTTAGAAAAACCCAAAACATTCATTTTGCTTAGGGCTTTGCTCTTGCTTTTTGAAGAACTAAGGCAGACATCTAGTGCTAAGGGTCAAATGTGGCGAAATAGTGATAACATCCTGAAGGAAGTTGGATGAGCTTAGGTACCCTGTGTATCTGAGATTTGTGGCTTACCCCCAGCAGTAGCAGTGAGTGAACAATCAGAGGGCTGGCCCTGCACAGAGCTGTTCCTGAGTCTTTGGATCACTGTGTCGTGCCTCACAGTCCAGGGCAGTAGTGACTCGGGGTGCCTAGCATGAGTAATTGTGCTGCATGCACTAATCATTGGCCTGCCCCTTCCTCACCAACAGCGTGAATGGCATTGTCCCCTGACTTCCCTGGAGAAGTTTGAAGTCTGACAGCACAGGACACCAGACACCAGGACACTTTCTTGTATGCGTGTTTGACTCACATTATCACGTGGCCCTCTGTCGGTGTACATGTGCAAATTTCTGCATTGCCCATGTTGCGTTCAAAACCATGAACTTATTGCCTTGGAAAAATATAAGACTGCGAAAGAAATAGTATTTTACTATCATTTCCTGATTTGTGAATAGTCTTAAAGTTTTATTTTACTTTAAAAGATTTCTGGTGGTTAAAAATGGGCAATTTTTATAATAAAATTACTGGATATTATTTGAAAAATCTCAAGGTTTAGAGTTTGGAAAAGAATTTATTATTCTCTTTGATTTAATTTTTTTTTCTAAATTCAGGAAAAGTCCCCAATTTTTTCAGTTTCCTGGAAAATTTATATGCTGTATAATTATAGAATTCCCTCTCATAGAAATACCTACTTGTAGATAATATTAAGATGTTGCACACAAAAATTATGATTCAAACATATTTCAGAATATTCTCCTAAAAATCCCAATAATGTGGAGTCTTTTAAATACAGAACTCTGGTGAATCTTGAGCATCTAGTAAATATCAAACTATTTGAACGGCAGCTTGTAATAGTAATAATGAAGGCTATACAATTTAAAAATGCAAAACATTCTTGGGCAACACTACAATTCAAAGTTCCTAGCGTGCTTTGGTAATCCTTCATGCTCTGGCTAGGAGTTTGCTATTAAGAGCAGCATGAGCTTATGTAAAGGAGGAAGACTCCCACGTCAGCAGCCTCACACTGTACATTTCTGGGAGACAGACCTCACTGACAACCGCTGTTTACCCCCTTAGTATGCCTGATGCTTGCTTTTGCTTTTTGGTATCATAAATGGGAAAGAATGAGAAAATAAACCTTTGACAGAAAGGAAAAACCTGATAGCAACAACAATCCATATTTTCATTATAACTCCGTTTATAAACTTAAATCAAGTTTGTATTTGGCCATAACAGGCTGATAGATGTACAAACGAGTGTGGTTCCACTAGCTGCCCACCTTAAAATCCTACTGGTCTAAAGCCAGTGCTTGGTCAGAACCCTGATTATCCCTGGATTGTGCTAATGGGTTTTAGCAGGTCCCAAAGGCAATATACCTTTTCTCCTCCTAGGAACGCTGGTGGCACAGTGGTTAGGAGCATGGCTACTAACCAAAAAAGGTCAGCAGTTTGAATCCACCGGGCGCTCCTTGGAAATTCTATGGGGCAGCTCTACTCTGTTCTATAGGGTCGCTATGAGTCGGAATCCACTCGATGGTAACAGGTTTGGTGTTTTTGTTTTGGTTCCTGGGCACATGGCCCACAGCCCAACGGCTTTAGGAAGGACACAAACAGATTGTGGAGAGGGAGGAGGGGTCCAGTTCTTCAAAGTAGCCATTGGTCTGAAGTAGAATTGTCTAAAGACAAATACAGCCTTGGCGTTCAGGTTTAAAACTGCCTGAGTCCATTTTATGATGTGGGGAGAGTGGCCGGAGCAGGGGAGGCAGCGCTGTGGGTGCTGCCCAGAGGTTAGCATTTAGCCCCAGGCTGGGTCCCCAAAGAGGGCCACATCACATCACAGACTTAAAAAAGGGTAAGAAGGGATGGCAACTGTGATGAAATCCTCTGAGCTGAGTGCCCAATAGCAGGAATTGGGAGGCCCAATTTAAAAGCAATGACTTTGGGGTGCTCTCTGCTTAGAGCTGAGACAGTGGATTCTGCTATTCATAAATATTTGTGTTTTAGCTTGTGGACCATACTAACACTTTGTTGCAAGCTGTTTATGGGAGATTTTAGCAGTTAGAAAGCGACTGAATTATTTTCTGTTGTGTTGGATTGCTCTTCTTTTGAAATAAGGCCTTGTTTTTACAAGTCTTTCAAAATTATTTTATTTCTCCCATTTGTGAATCTGAAGATATGTGGGGAGGTATAAATTATTTGTGTTATTTTTAAATGTTCTGTTGGTCTTTGTAGATGGTTTTTATAAAATGCATTTACTCTAAAATTTATTCTTAACTGGTATTTTTTTTTTTGTTTTCAGTTGCCTCAGTGTCTGTAAAAATATCTTAATATTCTTTTCTTAGCACTGCATTATTTTGGTAACAGTGAGCAAAGATCATAAAAATAGTCATCAGCAAAGTTATTTAGAATACATCCATGATATATTATTGCAGGGAAATTGATGGAATTTTGTTTTCATTCTAGATTTAAAAGAACGTTTCTTGTTGTGGAGTTGAACTTCGAAAGTTAATCCTTTCTTAAAACAGTTTAAAAATCTGAATATGGGTAGTTTCCATATGAATATTATCCACATATTTTGAAATATGTTTAATAAATTCTTTTGACATAGACAAAGTTATTAATTGATCTGGAAGCATGGACGGTGTGCACACTTACACAAATAGGTGGACAACCTGTGATGACTTTCGACAGGGACTGTTTTCCTTTTTGTTAGAAAATAGTAAATGTTTCAAGAAATACCTGATTCTCAGAAATATTTGATTATGTCATTCATTTCTTTTCATATTCATGTTCAAGAAAAAATAATTCTGAAAGGTAAACAATTTTTTTAAATTTATTTTTTTATTGTGCTTTTGGTGAAAGTTTACAGAGCAAATTAGTTTCTCATTGAATAATTAATACACAAATTGTTTTGTGACATTGGTTGCCAACCCCGTAATGTGTCAACACTCTCCCCTTCTTGACCTCGGGTTCACCATTTCCATTTGTCCAGTTTTCCTGTCCCTTCCTGCCTTCTTGTCTTTGCTTTTTGACTGGTGTTCCCATTTAGTCTCATATATATGGTGTTATTGTTTGCTTTATAGACCTATCTAATTTTTGGCTTAAGGGTGAACTTCAGGAGTGTCTTCAGTACTGAGTTTAAAAGGTATCCGGGGACCATGCTCTTGTGGTTTCTCCA